ATTTTTTGATTTTGAAAGGTTTGTCAAATATCATAGACTTAAAAAATTCATTCACAAGTCAAAAGGCAATATATAATCAACTGGATTGAGTGCAAATTTCTTTACAAATTTCCTTTTGTGAGTTCTATTTAACCTGTTGACACTATTTAGAAACATTTTAAACCTTCTGTTTTGTCCTCCTTTTCACTTTTTTAAATTATTACTCATTATGTTTCAGGACGTAATTTATCAAATAAGATTCTTTCTTACACAATGTTATTTTTCTTTCTCTTTAATCTTTTTTCCTCCCAGAAAACCACTTTTCACAAAACAGGATTAGAGTTTACTCTAAAGTTAATTATTCTCTTTGCTAAAGCAATTATTAGAACATTTCAAAGACATTTTTTTTTTTTTTTAACAAAGATTCAGTTTCCCAAACAATTTTAACAGCTCAGGTTATTATATTTTACAAATAACTCAGACAATTTATGAAATGTAACATGAATTTAAGGTTTTAAGTTATTGTAAAGTTTTGTAGCTACTGTCTTAGGCAAGGAGAGCATGTCCTTGACCTCACCACAGTCAACTACTTATCTGAGCTCAGTATTTAAAGCTTTAAATTAAGAACATAAGTTCACAGTGAAATCCAGCAAAATTTAGAAATACTTATGAGGTCACAGTTTTATAATCCTTAAACACCTGAATTTTAATAACAGTTTGGAAACGTCTTTTATTTGTCAAAGAGTACCAAAGTCATCTGCGCAAAAAGGCGTTTAAGTTCTTTTCTGTTTTTCTGATAAAATACTTGATGGAAGCATTTTTTTTTCAAAGTCAATTAATTACAATTCTTTTGCATATTCTGATTGTGAAATATCACAGGTACATGACATACACAGACACATAAACTGACATGTAGTCAGAACCAGAATTTTTATTTGGCAGCTTTTAAACATACATGTTTACTCAGACTGTTAATTTTTTACTTACCTAATTCATTTACCTTAGCAATTTATCTTGGTTTTAGTTATCATTTTAAGTTCCTTTTCTGTTAACTGTTTTACACCCTGTAAATTAGATACATATACTTTTTTTTTCTTCTTTTTTTTTTGAGACCGAGTCTCACCATGTCACCCTCAGTAGAGTGCTGTGGTGTCTCAGCTCACAGCAATATGAAACTGGTGAGATTAAGCAATTCCCTTGCCTCAGCTTCCCAAGTAGTTGGGACTACAGGTGCCTACCACAACACTTGGGTATTTGTTGTTATTGTGTCTTTGTTATTTAGATGGTCTAGGCCAGGTTCGAACTTGCCAGCCCTGGTGTATGTGGCCAGCTCCTTAAGCACTGAAGTATGGGAACTGAGCTGATATCTATACTTTTAATTAATGTTTTAAACTCATAAATTTTACCAAGAAAAAACAAACTTATCATTTTATTTTATTCATTTATTATTTTATTTTATTTTGATACAGAGTCTCACTATGTCATTTTTACAGAGTGCCATGGTGTCACATTTCACAGCAACTTCAAACTCTTGGGTTCAAACAATCCTCTTGCCTGAACCTCCGAAGTAGCAAAAACTACAGGTACCCCCAACAGTGCCTGGCTAATTTTTAGGGATGGAGTCTTACTCTTCTCAGGCTGCTCTCAAACTCCTGAGCTCATTTGGTCCACCCATGTAGGCCTCCCAAACTGCTAGGATTATGGGCCTGAGACACCATGCTTATCCTGTTTTATTAGCTTTTCTTTAAAGAAATTTTCTTCAGAAATAGATTTTGTGCTTCATAGATTTTTTTTTTATCATTTAGAATATATTATTATACAACTTGCTGGTCTGTCAGAAGTTTTGATAAAAATCCTATTGATCATTTTATAGGAGTACCCTTGAACATGCCATGTCCCATTTTTCTTGCTAATTTGAAGATCCTGTTTGTAAATTTTTTCTTTTTCTTTTTCTTTCTTTTTTTT